TCTGTGGCTTTTTGGCACACTTGGACCCTGCATATAGCCAAGTCTTCATTCAGCAGCCTGCCATGTCCTGCCCATCTTGGTTCTTTTTCTGGACTTGAACTAGTCGCCTGCCGTATTGTTTGATAATCTTGGGACTGTGCCTTTTTACTTGTTGACCTTGGGTTTGTCAGCCTTAGCAGCCAGCAGCTGCCTGAGTTAAGAGAAGCCTCTAGCTTCAGTGGGCCAGGTACAAGAGGCAGAGTTGAAGGCCAAGGTCAAGGGGCTTTCACCCAGCCCCTAGAGCTGGCACTTGAACTCAAACTTCTAGCCTCCAAAATTTTAAGAGAATAAGATCCCCGTTTGTTCAAACCACCCTTTTGTGGTATTTTCTGTTAGAGCAGCATGAAGTAATCACAACACATTCCCAAGGACCAGGGCTCTTTCACCATGAGAAGGACAAAGAGAAGCCCCTCGGTTATGACTGTGACCCTCATCCCTCAGCTCTGGAAGGCATCAGCACCAGGTGGATTCTGTTTTTCTCAAGGCTGACCTCCCTGGAATATTTTAGGCTGTATTGTTGGTGTGTTTTGGTTTTGCGCCTCTGGGTCCGAGTGCTCTTTCCTGAGGCTAGTTTGTACATTAGGTGATCAGGGAGGGGCAAGGTCCTGAGGATGGGCTCTGCTGTTTTGAGGGGAGGGTGGTGGGCTTGAGCCATGTGGAGGTGAATGTGGGAAGGCCTGGCAGACCACAGCTGTCTTTCTCCTTCCCTCCCAGTCAGAGCAGCTTCTCCTAATGGCCACCTGCTGGAGCGTCATCCTGTTCCTGTCAACCTTGAGCTGCCCCTCAGAAAGTTCCAGCAATTGTTTGGTAGGCAGTGACACCTGCCTCCAAATCAAGCCAATGAGCAAACTGGCAGAGACCTGCCTGCCTGTGAGCCCCTACATGGGACCCAGCCACCCTCACCCTCTACAGAAGAGACTCTGGGGGTGCTAGGGGCTAGCTGGGGGTGTGGTACCCCCATTGCTCCCAGCTGAAGCTGAAGCTCCCCCCACCCAAGTCCTGATGCTTGGGCATCTTCTTCCTTAAGCCAGCAGCTCCCATACCCAGATTCGCTACAGGGAGAAGGGACACTCCCTAGAGGGGCTCCTGGCCCAAGGCTTCTTTCTGAGGGGACCAGGGAACCTGGCTGTTCTGGTTCCCTAGTGCCGCTCTGACAATAAATATACCACAAATGGGATGGCCTTAACAAAAAGGAGTTTATTCTCTTTCAGTTTGGAGGCTTTAAGTCCAAGTTCAAAGTGCCAGGCTCTAGGGGCTGGGTGAAAGCCCCTCAACTTTGGGCTTCAGCTCTGCCTCTTGCTCCTGGCCCACTGGAGCTAGAGGCATCTCTTCACTCAG